ACCAATGCAAAGTTTCCAGCCTTCGACATCATGTGCAGCTGAGCTGATTAGCACAGTGCTATTTTATTTACCCAGCAGGACGAACCTTCCTGTGCATCTGTGGCATCAGTTTGTGTTCGGTGTGTGCTTAGTACCACTCACCTTCGTACGCGCTTACCAGGGAGAGGAACCTGAATAGTTAAAGCGAGGATTTAAAAAAAGAAGCCTGGGGGCGCCCGGTTAGCTCAGTGGGTAGAGCTGGTGACCCATGTACTGAGGCTGAGTCCTTGCTGCAGTGGCCTAGGGTTCAAATCCGACCTGCGGACCTTTGCTGCGTGTCATCCCCTCTCTCTACCCCCCTTTCCTTAACCTTACAATATGTATAACACACACCCACACAAACTGGGATTGCCACAGATTGCACAGGAGATGTTGTTCCTGCTTGGGTGAAAAAAATAGCACTGGTGCATTATCAGCTCATTGCACAATTTCAGTGCTGTCAAACTTGTGGCATGGGGTTTTCCTCTTACAGACGGGTTAACATTACAGTACAACTGTTTGGTATCTGGGTGACATGAATAACAACAGCATAAATATGTAGCCTTGCCTGGAGGCTATAGGCAAGAAATCATGGTCAATGTCTTGAACCTTTTTCGACACCTCTTGGAATGGATGAAATGAAAAATGGATAAAATGTTGTGTAGTGTATTATTGTGCGCATTACAAAGACCTTTATATAACACTTATCTAAATATTTATAACAGAAGGCTTTTAATTTACAGGACCAGTAAAACACTCTGTTTAATGAGTCTAAATAAAGGATTGTTGTTCCCTATGTAAGTTCACTAACAGGTTTGCTTCTCTTAAAAAAACAAGACAGAAATTGTGATTATTTCTCTCTCCTTTCTCACTTTCTCTTTCTCTCCAGATTCTTTGCGGCCTGGTTCGGACCGCAGTCCAGCTAACAGAGCAGGAGTCCCCTCCTCTAATGCTCCTTCACCCCACAAATCACCTTTGTTGCCCGGGGCTAGACGGTGAGTCTGCATGCCTTCACTGCCCAACCCTACCGCTGAACACAAACACACCCAGAAAACAAACCAGCACATACAGCGCTTGTTTAAACACTGCCACACACACCACTTTTATACTTCATACTTGGCACTCTCAATGGCTTATCATGTATGTGATAAGCTCACAAGCCTATCAGTCTCTCTGAAGGTTAATTCATTACCAGTTAAACAGCTCTCGATGTGTTCTATTTCGAAGACTGTGATCATAGGAAGCAATATAGGTTCAAGAACAAGCACTGTGATACGACTGCTAACCTTTTTTGATTTCAAGACAAGCTAATAGTTACAAGTGATGGAGGATACTGCAAAACAGATTCATCTTCAAAGTCAGGTGGTCGCTTATTCTTCATAAAACAAGAAAACTAAAGCCAAAGCAGAGATATAAACTTGTTGGCATGTTAAAGGAACATCATTTTAGGATAGAATAATATACTGAATGTAATACATCCTCTATTAAGAAGCAAACAAAGAGCAACCAGCTCTGCCTGAAAGATCAGAATCATTGCATTTTTGTGAACTTTAGAATGAGCCGTTCTTATCTACAGAGGGAGCAGGTCCTCTTCCACACAGTCCGCCATCTTGAACCGCCATGTTTCTACAGTAGCCCAGAATGGTCAAACTAAACACTGGCTTTAGATAGGGCCTTTCACACTTTTCTCATGTTTCGCAGCCACTGTAGTTTATCATACACTCTTGGAAGGCTGAGCTGAATTCAAATGGTTGCAATCCACAACTCTACCACTACATGCCACTAAATCTCCATTGGTCCCTTAAATCTCTGACACTTTCCGAATTTAGAATTTCTACATTTTAAAGTTCTAAATTGGCCATCTGTGGATGTGTGTGTGAGATCTGAAACTACTGTTTAAGACCAGTGACCAAAGACAAATAAATCTTATTTGCATTTTGGAAGGCATGCCTCTTGATATCGTCCTGACAACATACAGGTCATACAATCTTTATGGGTTGTTTTGGAAGATAATTACAGAGGTTGGAGGACTTCCTGGTTTCTGTTTATGTTAATATACGTATGTATAAATATTAAGGCTTTTAATGTAGCAGAGCAGGAATTACCTTTGATCCATAGGTAGCATTAACAACCCTCAATAAAAATAAAATTCATCCATCTGCTAACAAGAAAAAGAGTCAAAGGTGACTGAACAGTTTTTGTTAAATTCATTTTAAATATATACACAAGTTTGTATAGTGTTTGTATCAGATTTACACAAATTTGACTCAAATTCATACACTGTGCAACAGATTGCAACAATTTCTACAGAGCATAAAATGCAACCTTGTCCCACTCATCCGTCACCCTCC